ATGAAAAAGTCATCATGTCCTATCTTAACTTTTCATTGAACAGTCTATGTAAAGAGATCCATAAATGTTCATCTAGAATTTTTCTGACCACATTAGAATTTTTCTTTTATTTTTTTGAATTGTGCATCTCAAATGTGCACTAATTCCCATTTGTGCTTTACCTGCTTATATTTCAGTCGTTCTGGGAATTCAGTTTCAACTGTATAGATACTATTGTTCTTGATTCTTTCCTACAGTTTAAGTGTTCAGTGTCAGGTTGGATGGGGTTTTGAGCAATCTGTTCTAGTGAAAAATAACCCTGGCCATAGAAGCACGGTTGGAACTAGATACCTTTAAAGGTCCCTTCCAAACCAAACCATTCTGTGTTTCATGAAAGTACAACTGAATTCAAGGCTGATTTCTACATTTTCGATGTGTAACATTTTCACTGCTCTTGCATCTAGTCACCAAGTGAATCTTGTTTAGCAAATGGACTAACTTTTGCTAGACGTCAGATAAATGTAAAGCAAAGGTTTCCAAACTGCATATTCTGTTCCACAGGTGGCTTACAAATTGTTGTATTATCATTGAGTAATGGAATCGGCTTCTCCTAAATTCATGCTGGTGAAGTACATTAAATTCCTGTTAAACACAGTAAATCATATTTAATTTACATGTCTCTAATTGCCATGGGTTCTAAATGTTCATGTGTGAAGGAGCAAGCAAGTCAAAAGATAATATTTTTTTTTAAGTGACATGTGAGTACTGTCATGAAAAGTTTTGTCCTGAGGAATGCATTTCTGGAACTGGAATTGTTAAGGATATTATCACTAAAAGTTTTCTGAGCTTGCTATCACTTGATTAGATTCTGTAGTAACCTAAACCAGAAATGTTATAAAATTATAAAATCTGATCAAGATCTTAGAATCTTTTAAAGTATTTGGCATTCCCTGCTTTATTTCATTAGCTGATTTAGGAGATAAAAATAAAATATATTTTATTATAAAAACAGATATTTGGAAAAAATCAGGGATATCATTTTCAACAGCATTTTTTCCAATGCGTGGCACAGAATGCATATGAATTAGCTATATATATTGCTATTAAACATAATGAGTTTCTGTCCTTTATTTCCTTTTACTAAATCTTCCTATATCTACAAAGCTCCCTAGCCTTGGAGGTACATAAAAATGAGACATTAGCTGAAGCTTTCTGTCTTAAAACTCCAATTTACTTTGCTATGTACTTATCTTCTCAACTGTGAGGATATATATGCATATTTTCATGAGCTGCTTAAACAGATACATGCATCTCTAAATAACTGATGGATGCATTCCTCTTGGTACGTTCATAGACCTGTTTTATTTTTCCATGTCCTCTTTGTTCCCTATATAATATTATTTTAATTCAAAACATTTCCCTGATGTACATAATAGGGTGAGTGCTTATCAAAGCATAACTTTAGCTAATGACACTACATGTCTCATAAGAAATAATTCAATTTCGGTTTTAATAAACATCATATTTAATAAATCCATATAGACTCAGTAGGAATTGCTCATGATTTTGCTCTGTTTAAATATCAGTGTGTATATAAACCAAAATCTTTATGAGCCTTTGCTGTAATTCTTTGCCAGTAGCAGTGATGGGGCAAATTAATTTTTATTCCCAACAGAAGATTTTGCTGCTGGGGTCATACTGCATTAACTGCAATCACATCTATATTTTGTGGCTATAAATACATTGTATTTGTGAAAAGAAGTATATGTGAATGAAGTATAAGATCTGACAAAAATAAAGTCCATATACTGACCCATCTGAATTGATTTCATGTGTCTCAGAAAACCTTGAGATACAAAATCATGCTCACAATACATTTCATTCTAAATGAAGCCAGTTACTTCTGATTAAAGATAATGTTCACTGGCTCTTAAAAGAACTGCTTCATTTGTTTAATACTTTGTCAAATTTTAGGTTCTATGAGGACGAGTGAACATTTACATATAGTGGGTTACCTCAGCTTGTGGAGTTCAGGTTTTTGAGTCTTTCGGTACTATTTTTTTCTGTTTGGATATCTCCAAGAATGGGATGAGGGAAAAAAAAGGTGGCTTTACTTAAAGAAATGTGTTCATCTGTTTTCAGTGAAAATCTGTAATACTTCCATGATTAAGGAATGAAATAAGGGGCAAAAAAATATATTTTTCTGACAGAGCAACACCCATTTGTACCTAAGAAAAATAACCAACTGTAACTATATTACAATTATTTGCATATTTTGCAAGGAACAGTGTAATAGGAATAAATGACACTAGCATGTGTAGAAGATACTTAACAGCTAAATTCTCAGCATAATGGCAGATCAAGGACCAGCAGACAGGGGAGAAGAAAGGTGGAGACTGAAACATGGATGCAGTTACGGACATGATAGAAAGTTTTGACAGAAAAACTTTGTTGAGTTAGTGGCAGAAGGATTCTCTCCTGGTTCTTGACAAGTGTCTTACCTAGGCTCACATAAACTTGCAGGCTTAAGATGAGCCATTCTCAACTTTCTTTCTGAGTGTACTAGTAGAGTGCGTCTCATCTCCCTTAGAGATAGCCCATTAAGGTATTTCTGTATAAGAGCTAGTAAGTGCTCTGTTGACTCAAGTGACAAAAGTTTGTGCAGGGAATCTAAATTTTCCAACCTGTTTGTGACTTGAGTGACTGGCTTCATATGAAGAAATTCTTGTGGGATTGTTTGGGATTTTTTCCTGTCTGTTTTATTGCATTTTAAAGCCTGTGGAATTGCATTTTAAAACTGCATTAGGTAGATGTTTTGGTTGCAAGTGCAACCATTAAGCCCTGTACACGAACAGAAGAAATGCCAAATGTGAAGTTTAGCTGTGCAACTTTAATTCATCCCATTTATCTGCGTGCATAATATAGGCATTATTTATGCAATCACATTTCATTTTTTGCAATACTACTGAAGTGTGCTGTGGAGATGAATCTGCGCTCTGTGGTGATGACTTCCATTTTCTATAGTTCTCCTCTCCTTTTTGTTGCAAAGCTTGAAACTGTGAATGAAGGAAAAGGAAGGATATCTGGGTAAATGTTTTCTTTGAGCTTTAATTTCTGTTCCAACCTCTTCCACAGAATATCTGTGTGAGAGTGAGCTAATAATTTAAACCAAACCTTTTACAGATGACCTCTGATTTAGTGTTTATTATTTTGAGAACCAGAGGCTGGGATTTTGGAAATGCTGAGCAGTCTTACTTATAGCAAAAGTCCCTAGAAGGTGTATATGGAGCTGTGCAATGCTAAGTACTAACAAAAAAATGGCCTGAAGTCATCCCAAATTAATAGCTACCATATCTCATAGTGACTATGATAATCTCTCATCTGTAAAATGGGGTAATACTATATCTTCATTCTTGTGAAGTAAATTATATATTTGTGAATCTTTTGCATGCTATAGTGATGAACAGTGCAGAAAAAACACATAAGAAAAATATGATGGTGATTTTAAAAGAAAGATAAACTACATAAAGCCATGTGCGGAGTAGTGGCAGTAAAACACCACTGAATGAAGTTCCAGATTGTGAGAAAAAAGTAGTTTGTGGCTATTAAATTAAGAAGCGTATCATAATGTCTACATAATGGGGGCTGAATTATGGCTGCATGACCGACCTTTTAATTCTTAACTGATAAGCGCTTTGTTTCGCAAGCCTGCGTAGTCTTTTCATAGGGCTGTGTGGGCATGTGTAATCACACAAAACAATGTGCTCATTATAAAGCTTTCAGGTATATTTTTTGTTACACTAATTTATTACTAATGTATAGATAATAAATAATATCTTGAATAAAAGATCTGCTGAGACCCATTTTCCCTCCTAACAATACCATGAAATATTTTTTGCCTTCAAATTTTAGTAATGTATGTCTGTTCAGAAATGTGCTTTATTTATTTTTATATATATATATACTTTCGCAAAATCAATTTTTGCTAAATCCACAAGCATTTAAATTACTTATAGTCTTTAGTTACTGTAAATTGCATAGGTGTGCTGTTACTTTTTGACTTACAAAGGCAACTTTAATAAAAGACAAAGAAGGTAGAAATTTTGACAGGCTCAGTTAAGTTTTAGCAAGTAAAAAACTTAGTTGTATTATGCATTAATAGAACTTGTTGGATAATATATTTACATCTATCTTTATCCATGTGTTCATATTTAGCTTGGTACTTTGAAAAGTGCCTTACCTTAAATCTAGAGTTAAATCATTATGAAAAAAAGATATTTCTTAGAGAGACATGGAGTACCTCAGTTCTTGATAGCAGTTTATAATTTCCTTCATCAAATTTAGCTGAGGCTATTTTGTCAGTGTGGTTGGGTTATCTTTGTTCTCCCATGGCTGCGTAGCAGTGTTTTAAAAATTTTCTATTCGTTTTATGTTTTTTCAGCTGTCGTGACTGGTTGTCTTGTACCATTCCCCTTGAGTGTATGTGTGTATTTATTATTTCAAACAATTTTATATGTCCAGATAGGGGTCCCATTAACATTCTATTTCACTAGAAATTGGCAAAAATTTGCATCAAAGGGTTTAGCTTCATAAATGATACTTTGTATTGTTATTGAGTGGTGGTTGCTGGTTCTTCCCTTTTCACCATATTCTGTATTTTTCACCACTTTGCATGACAGAACAAGGAAGCTGAAATGCTCAGCTTCACACATTATGTTTCTGAGAGGCTTTGGTATTTTGTATAGTCTAATGCAAAAACATAAGAAAACAGATGTAAACACTTAAATGATGTGGTTATAAGCAGAGGCATGTGGCTGTCTCACACTTAATCTTTTGTAAAAAGCATTTGAAACTGTTATTTCATTGGAAATTTCGAGGAAGAATGGCTTAATATTTCCTTGCAGCCTTTCCTAACTAGTGGGTCCCCTATAACAAAATCAAATAAAGCTATTTTGGAACATTCAGTTAAAAGTAATTTAAATTTATGATTTTGTTGTTTTTGTTCTTGTTTCACTGAGCAGTATATTAATCAATCCTGGAAACCACGTCAAGATTCAAGAAGGTACGTTAGGATTCTTCATTGCAAGTGATGCCAAAGAAGTAAAAAGGTAATTCATATATTTTTATCCTTAAATTTAAACATATAGTATTTAATTTCTTTTTTTTCTTCCCTGTAAACACCTCACCTAATTTTCATTATTATCTGTTTAAACATTCTCAGGGGGAATTGAGTTGGTACTCTAGTGAACCAACCATGTGTACGTGCCATTTTCTTAACTACAGTCCTAAATGTGAAGGAAATGAAATAAGTTTACAGCAGATGTGAAAAGAAAGGAAGAAGCTTTTTTTCCAAGTCCTACTAGAAAATGTAAAATATTTTAATCTGATTTCTCTGTAATTAATTTGTCTCAGTGGAATTGCTTTGAGTGAGGACAGGGTTTAGAGTTATGTCTGAGTTTCAGGTTTAGAGTAGTTCTTATTTACATAGACTTTAGCAAATATTTGATGTGAGCAAGCTACTGTATTCATTCAATAATTGCATTAGCAGAATAGTATTTATGTTCTTGTCATTTTTCTTTACTGGAACTACATATGATATGGCCTCATAAAAATAAATCAAACTACAACAGTGTAGTATATCCTAACCATTGTAGACAACTTCATGGATTCATTGTACTTGGTTGTATTAGATTTGAGTTGAATGAAAAGGGGTTTTATGGTGGTATGTTTAGGACCAAACATGTACTCTTGTGCGTCAGGATTATAACGTGCTTGGAAGGAATAAAAAAGCAATTTGAGAACATAATTCTTAGCAGAAATAATTATTCAATGTCTGTAAGATTATTTTTTTTTAAAAGGAATATTTGCAGCTGAGTGCTCCTCATAAATTATATTTTTGTTGTAAGTCATGCTATCAAGAATCCTATTTTTACTTGATGTTCTCCTTGAGTTAGATATTTTAACTAAATCCTTTACTTAGAATGATAATATATTCAAATGATAACCTTTACTAAGTCTAAAATGTTTATGATTAAATGACACTGAAAACAATATTTAAGCAATGCATGTTTGCCACAAATGTTTAAAGAAAGTCAAGACATCAAAACAGTGAAGTCACCAAGAACTCGAATTCAGTTTTCACTGAAAGAGCTAAGATAGTTTTTGGCTAGGTGGAGCATACAGAGAAGCACAGCAGTGCTCCTGTCCTCATTTTCTAGCACCATCTTTTGAGTATTTGTATCCAGAACTGCCTCAGGTACACTCAGCATATAGTTCTTTTCCTCTCTGGTCCTTTTCCCAGTTGAATATACAGAAGTGTCCTCACATTCCTTTACTAAGATGCTAGCTTTTTTTTTTTTCATTTATAAGGCATTTTACACTCTCCTGTGAAACTGTGTGAGACTGTAAGTAAAAATTACCTGGCATAGCATTTTTAACAGGAATAAGTTGACTGTTCTTAATCTGTTTAGAGAAAATTTGCACATCATTCGTCTAGAACATTTTTTCTAATAGCAAGCTGAAACAAAATTCCCAATTTTGCCTTGCTTTTTGCAGAAGGCTCTGTTTAGAAACATGCTGCCTCCCTTACCACATTTCTTAGCTGTTCTGTTCAAAGCAAATGGTTATCAGATGTGTTTCAACTAACAAAGTCAATTATGTAAAGTGTTGATTTCACCCTTTTGAGCTAGGAGTTAGAGTCAGAAAAATGTTCTAAAACTGAGGTCTTTTGGAGGGGATAAAAATTATTTTTTTTTTTAGTAAAGTAAAATTCAACATGTTATATACCTGAAATTAAAATTAAATTATTCTGGTTTTGTGTTTCATGCTAATGGAGAAATTTCAGCTCCTTTAAGCTAAAGCTATTCATATTTATCAAATATATATTCCACAATGAAATACAACTTACAGTGTTCCATTACTCTTCTTGCTAGAATTACTTTCTCATTTTTAAAACAAATTTTCACATTAGAGACAATTATGCCTAGGTAAATAGCTTAATGTAAAATGTTGAGCATTTAAATATAATACAAATGATATGAATTGCATCTTTATGATTCTTTATTCATTTACATGTTAGTACTAACATCAGAAATCCATATGCTTCAAATCCACTTAATTCAACCTGAATATATAGAAAGACATTTTTTTATGGCAATCACTTCAGGTGTTTCCTCTTGACTTTGCACATAGGATTGAAAGTACTCTTTAGGACATTTGTCCTGCAGTGGACTTCAGAAACATGACCTGTAGGCATGACCTATGTCTACTTCGTATCATGAAGTTTTGTGAGGGAATATTTTTGATAGTGGATTCTTATTCAATACAAGGGTTTACAACTGGATTGGGGAGAAATTGTAAAAGTTCGAGTCAGTCTTGCTTATGTCTTGACATTTGACTCATGGTTTGAAAAATATTTTATTCTCATTTCATTGGAGGCGGTTTGTTTTCTTTTGGGTGGAAAGTAAATAGTTTGAAGACCAGAAACTTTCTGCAGCAAAGTATACAAATGCTCAGAGAAGACTTTTTCATTTTCATTTTGCTTCTTGGAAGTAGTAAGAAAATTTCACAGTCTGAAAGAGTAATCTTCCTGGAAGTTTCCTAGAGAAGTTAAGTCTGCTACATTTAGGACTTATTGATCAGTAGCTTGCATACTATCTTGATTGTAGAAATGTTAATAACATTCAGTGAGGTCTCACTGCAAATTTAAATTTGTATTCTCTGGCCCATATCTCATATGCTAGACCTGCTACCTTTCTCATGATGGGCCGCTTAACTACCAGTGTATAATATATTGTACTATACTACATATATAATATAATTTTAGATAACTTAGAAAATTTAGATAAATCCGTAACTATTTGAATTAGGTATCTAGTTCATATTTCTGAACATTTCCTTTAATATAGTTCTACCTGTGGTAGACCCTGTCTAATTAATCTAAAAAGAATTAGAAGTGATCATCCTAGCTGAACTGCCAAATGCTGTGTTTATTCAGAGGCTTGGCATTAATATTGTCTATTTTTCTTTTTATATTTTGGACTGTAGATTGTTCTGTTCCAGTGACCTCCCTACTGTTGTAGCAATCCAACCATCCAGTACTGTCAGCAAAATCCATGGGTGGTTGCAAAGTGGCAGCTTTGGTTCTTACTGCCAATTTATATTGAGAAGTATGCAATGAGAGAGGGTTGGGAAGATAGGCAAGGAGCTGACATATCCTGAATATGGATAAGTACAGGGAAATTTCAGCAGGTTAAAAAGTATGTTTAATTTGTTATGCCAGCAAGAATCCTGGTAAACTGTAACTGTCCACCTAGAGGTCAGCTGTGTGGTCCTTATGAAATGTGTCACAGCCTTACATGACATATTGACTTGACAGGAATGATTAAACTCTCCTGTGGGCAGTCTTATGCATAATTACTAAACTGAAATTTGGTTTTAATCTTATATAAAGTCAAATGCTTACCATTTCTCACTTCCTTAGTTCTCCTTGTGCTTCACCTAGTGGTGAGCCATTTGATACAAGGGTAGAAATTCATAAGCAAAATTATTAAATGGAAACCAAATGGTTCACTTTGTTAATTGCGTATTTTTGTTTGAAATGTTGGCTTTTGTCTGTTCAAAACCAAAATGGTTCTTCTTTATTCAGATATGAAGGACAAAAAATAGTCTGAATCAAGATTATTTCAGTTCTTTTATTTATATGTTCCTTTAGGAACTTATTTTGAGTAGACTTTCCCTTTCTGGTTTTGTTTGTTTGAGGGTTTTTTGTAAATAACATATCTGTTGTTGTCACACTGATCTCAATTTAATCTCTCATTGTATCCAGAATGTAAGTCCTACTTGTTACCAGGTGGAAAAATTGGCCCAGGGTGCTAGACAGTCTTTAAAAAAACCATAAAATCTGGTATATCCAATAAGAAGAGATAATTCATTATATATTTTTGTGACAAAATTCATTAGATGCTCTTTTTTTCTAAAATAAAAGGCAAATGAGATGATATACTCTGTCATAATTATCATCCTTTCTCCCAATTACTTTAAAAATAAAAGTATATTAAAAGAAACACTAATTTGGAGTCTTATGTTTGAAATTAATGGTCTTGCAGCAAATATTTTCTACTTTAAATGTCTAAACCTTTTCAAAGATTAAAGAGAATTAGTGCTGGCATGTTTCATTAATTTGGCACTGCAACAAGAGGAAAAGTGGTACTAATTTCATTTATATGGATTAAGAAATGTGTCAGTTTTTCCATTCTGTCTCTTTAGGGCATTTTTTTACTGCAAGGCCTGTCATGATGACATCACGGATCCCAAAAGGATAAAAAAATGTGGCTGCAAACGGCGTAAGTAATATTTCTATCACTCCCTTCCTCTCCTTTTCATGAACTGTTCAGCTTTGAAGAATATCTGTACATGTGTTCACATGTTTTACACAGTGGTATAGAAAAGGCAAGAGATAAATGCACAGCAGCATAGTAAGTGCCATTTGCATTTCTGAAGTCCATATAGCTTTATTACATTTCACACCACTTGCACCTGTTTCTTCATTAAAAAGTCCATTAGTGTCCAAAGCTAACAAAACCTAAAGAATTAAATAAAGTTACATCTAATTGTGGAGGTTTCTGAATTAAGAATGAGCTAACAGTGAAGTTCCGCCTCATTCATACCATGCAGATATCCTGTAATTTCAGTAGTTTTCTGTGAAGTTAAGAACTTTTGCCTATCTTGCTGAATATGGTTCTGTAAAAGAAGAAACTAGGGAATAATGTTACATCATCTAACTGTTGAAATAAGTTGTTATAGAAATAAACAATCCATTTTACCTGGAGGAAGGGATTGCCTGAAAGAAATGAAATATTAATGCCTCTTAGATATATCCTTTTAGAAGATTCCATAGCTGTAATGCTAATATTTGGTTTAGTTAAGTTCTTAGGTCTGCTCTTCAAATTGTTTGGAAAATTTTGCATGAAAAAATAATTGAGTTTTGGAATTGAGATCAGACTTCGCATCTGTATTTTTATTAATATATAAAAAATAGCATTTTATCTATATATACACTTTGAAAGGACTTTTTGCAGGAATTATCACAACTGCATTTTGGCCAAAGATGTGTTAGACCCATGTGTATTTGTAATGCTGTTATCATAAAGGATTTAGCGATCCATTTCTCAATGGATATCTGAATATTTATGTGTGTTCCATGGTATTCTGTCACGAAAAGGATCATTCAGTTCAAAAGTACTGATTAAGTAAATTGAAAGATCTCAGAGGAGTTTGATCATGCCTATTTACCATTACTTTTAAAAGGGAAAAACATCTCTTATTTGCAGATCTAGTCATAGTGTTATCACTACACTGTCTTAGAGGATGGAAGAAAGCCTAAAATGGATGTTCTCTGCCATTAAGGGGTGCCTGAAATTGATGAATTTCTGAAGGTGATTTTAAAAAGAAAAATTATGTCACTGGAGTTTTTAAAGAAACTCCTCTCCTCCACAAAAACAGGAGTGTGGAACAAAGTAGTATAATTGAGAGAAAGCAGCTGAAACACTGACAGAAAATGGTATTTATCTCCCAGTAGCCACAAGGAGAGCAAAGCACATGGAAAGCATGCCTGATGTGGAAGGAATGTATGCATTGCCTAACATATTGGAAAAAAATTGTTCAAGAACAGTTTATCCATGTGAGAATGTGACCTTTGAACTGCTGCCAAAGCCAATGAGGCTGCTGAGTAAGTTCTGGTAAAGCCAGTTACAGATGCCTCAGGGTGCCTGTAACTCTCAAACCCATTCTTTTTTCCATATTACCCAACAGTTAAAGAGAAATGTGTTACCTGTTTAATTTTATCTGATTCTGTCAAAGAAAGACCTATTTTATTTGTATTTTCTTCTTTACTGCTCCTTCACATAGTGTATGCTTTTTACACATGTGCTGATTTAAAAAAAAAAAAAAAAAATTCCCAAAGATTTGTCATTTTAATGTGAGATCTACACTTTTCACTGAAATCTGTTAGAAGATAGAAATCAGGAATTCACAGTCTAAAGGGCAAGAGCCCTTTAATATATATTAATAAGAATCAATGTAACGTCCTCAATATTAGGGAACCAGGAAGGAAACAGAGTACCCTGTGACCCAGCCAACACAATGGATATACTACCAGCATTAGGGCCATGGAGAGGTGGGAGTGACAACTTCCGTGTATAGCACTAGGAAGTGTTCCAAATGGCCTGGTCACGTGTATCAGTCCAATAAATGAAAGTATGTTGGACAGATGAAGAAACAAAACTGATGGAGTTAGTGAGGCAGAAGGAGGAGGCAGCTCTCAGAACTGCTGCAGTGAGCACTGAACACTAAGGAGGGAATCCTCTAAGTCACGTGAAAAAGAAAAAAAAATGGGCAGTGAGAGTAAAATCTTAAATTTTGCTTTCATTGTCTTCCTTCTTCCTCTCCCCCATCTGCCCTCTCACCTCTCCTTTTCTACATACGCACACATATGGTCAGAGATACCGTGATAGCTGGTAGATCTCAGTACAGCTGGGAATAGCTTCCACTTAGGAGCATGCTCCCAGCTATTAGGAATAATAATTGCTATGCTTTTAAAGTTCTGTCAGTAAAAAAATTTAAATGAAAAATTTCAACAGTAATTAGTGATTTTTGGTCTCAAATTTTGATGGCAATCTTGAGATTCCTTTTATGGGACCTGATTTTTGTTTTTAAAAGGTAAGTCTTTAATGCAGTCTTTTATTCACTTTAAATGTCTTAGCTTTAGCTTTCAAATCACTAATCACTTTTGAAAAATCTTAACTATGTTATCCATCTGTAAGCTACACAAATCGTTGGTCTTAAAGATGCAGTCTAACTAGAACAAAGCATAAATTAAGAAAACTATTTCCCTATTGAATTAGAAAACTGTCAACTGATCTGTCAACAGCTAATACATCAATCTGATTTTCAAAGACACTGCAAATAGTCACACATGTGTATATGCAGTCCTAGATGATAAATATATATTTTAATTAGCAAGTAACATAGGAATTAGAGGCAGCTGGATGCAGAAAATGTGTAAGATGAAATTAAAGGTTGTATGTAAAAATATTGATACATTCAGGTGAATTAAATGTGAAAGAGTATCTTTACATGGATAACTTAATTATGGTGACATTAATTAATGCAGCTTCCTGTGAAACTTGAAAACCACAGTCTTTAATAATGCATCTGAGGTTGCACATCAATTTAGATACTGTCTGAACATTAGCTTGTGGTATTATTGGGGTCTAAACCTGAGTCTGACCTACATAGCCAGTTGTCCAAACATGTTAGGCCTAATATTAATAATTCAGGGCAGATCAGTACGTTTCCACAAGGCCAGGGATAATTAAAGTAACCTCACTTTCCTTTTGCAGTTTCTTTGCCGTCCCTTTCTCCTTACCCATCCCACTCCCTGAATAATATATGAATGCTGATGTCACATTGTCCAGAGAAATGCTTGTGTGGAAATTTTATTCACAGATTGTTAATATTTTTTTTAATGTTTTCAATCTCTTTCCTATTGAACTGTAGTTTTTGCAGCAAGGGGCTAAATACATGTATATATTTATATAAAATGCAGCCACATTGGGTTGAAATCTCAAAACTTGGATGACCTACTCCTATTTCTTTTATTTTGTGCAACAGCTATGATCTAATTCTCTGTATATTTTTTCCAGTGACAGTGCTTGCTGTGAACGGTGGGGGTTGAACCCCAGAGGGGACATATCATGTGTACATTGATGTGTTTGAAGGAATTTCTTGTAATCTATGACAATTGACAAACTTTTGATTTATTTTTCCTCTTGCTGCCTTGGAACACGGCCCCTACTATAATTTAACTGCACACTGATAGTGATCTATTGTGAGTAAAAATGGGTTCCCTGTAGCCCAGAGTGCGGTCCAACCTGTCTTTCTCTAGCAGAGAGTATTTTTGTTCAGTATTTTGGTTATTTTCTTTCTTTATGTTGCATGTAGCAGTGACGTCATACCCACAAGTTTCTCATCGTTTACACCCGTGGAGATTAGGGTGACGTTGAAGAAAATACAGCAGTTTTCTCCTCTTCCACATTTTTGCCCCTTTTTTTCTACAATCTGATTTTTTATCCCTTTTTGAAAATGAGATATTGGCAATAGTATTTCCTTTAAATGATTCTAGAGATATCTCATGAATTTATAGGTATATCACTTAGTCTGGGGTAATTACCACTATGGCACTGTTTGCCTGGTTAAATGCAATTCATTGTCAGACCCGTGTTCAATTTTTTTGTACTTTGTCTTTTCCATTGCATAGGTGACACAAAGAGCAACACAGCAACCTTTTACTGTCCTTATCTAACTCCTTTCTCCCCATCGTCAAAAAAAAAAAGAGGTAGGGGAAAAGCCAGACAATTAATTAAGTTTGTGTCTAGCTTTTAATGTATAAACCTACAGATATCTTCAACAGAAAACAAGCTACAGTAATTATATGCCTCAGCTTGCTTGTTTTGAAATTAATTACATGAGTAGAGCCATGCTGACTTTTCAGGATCTAAGTGTGAAGTTTTACATTATTAATATATATAGAATATAAACTTTATAGACCATTTCATGTCAGTCTAAGTCATACCATTTTAAAGTGTACAAAATCTGTGAAGGCTCTTGTCAGCCACTTTTAGTGTGTACAGTTGTGATAATTTAAATAAATGCAGCATTTGGGACATGGAAAACATTTTCTACTTAGAAATACAAGCACTGCAAAGAAATGTACTGGTTATAGGGCAGTGCTGGAATTATGTGGGCTTGTTCTTTCATACATCAAGAGGGATCAACTATTTCATACCTACAGTGAGACATTACCAGATTGGGGTTGCTAACCATACTGTATAACTGCAGCTATTCTAAATAAGTGAGGCTATTAGACTTTTTCAACATTTCACCAGATATTCTGAATTTATTATGTGATAACACTCCTGGTCTTAGTCAGGATTGAGATATTCTTTCCCTTCTCAGCTGACACCATAGGATCTTGCAAAGAATCAAGAAAAAGCTGATAATCCTCGAGTCACATGATAAAGTGCTAGACATCTTGGAATTGTGATGGCCTTCATTATGATCATCATTATTTACTATTTATCTTATTGTGGTGCCTGCAAACTGTACCAATGGATTGAGATCCTGTTGTGGTAGAAAGCATTCAGAGAACAGAAAGTTCTCCAAATATCTATTTCAGCCAGTAGAATGACACAGCAGAAAGATGGGCAGCACAGAAAAGCAGATTGTGAAACAGTTCGGCATGATAAGAATCAATATGTAGTAATAAACCAGAAAGAAACTAATTTCTATGGATAAAATGTTGAACCCTATTGACTTTGAGGCAAAATACTAGAAGTAATTTAGATTTATTTGAAGCAATGTATTTATTTAAAAATATGCTTGTATGTTGAGGCCTTTCTGGATCAGAGAAATTATTTTAAATAGTAATAAATAAACAAATAAAAGATCTATTCATGCTAAGAGAGTATTAAAAATAAAAGGTCATGTAGCTTTGACTTGTTTTTTTTTTCCATTTCCCGAATAGCTTCACTTTGTTCAGAAATGCAGTTAGCTTTGAGCGTACACAGGCTGAGAGTCTTCTTTAAGGTAATGAAGGAAAGGTCATGATCAGAATGGAAAATGAAAATGAATTGGTCTATAAATGTGCCATTACTTCACAACCCATGACTCATTCTTATAGCTAATAAAATAGGGAAAAACATCCACTCACATCACCTGCTGTTTCTACAGTTTTGACAAAGAACAGCACTGTATGAATTACAACAATTTACCAGTTGCCTTTGACTGCAAAAATTGCAAGCTGACTTGGTGGTCTCTTAAGTTGTTTTGTAAAAATTAAATAATGGAGAGATAGCTTTGCCTGTTGTGTTAAGAGAAAATAAATTCTCAGTAAGAGTCTAAGACACACTGCTGTATTTTTCAGGAAACTGAAATTGTGCTGGGGGAAGTCCTTTCGGTATTTCAGTCTCATGATGCAAACCAGCATTGCTAAAAGGCGATCAAATCAGTCTGGTCGTCCTTTAATGCTGCTGTTATTTTAATCATTGTGTGGATCATGAGAACTTGATGAATTGAAATGGCACTGTATGCACTTCAATTCTTAAGTGGAGTGGGACCTTTTTTTTAATCATTTGCTGGTCGAGAAGCCTCCAGTTCATCTTCTTAACCAGCTGTTATCTCATAGTGACCCACTAGATGTCCTCGTAGATCTACTTTTTGTTACCGTTGAGGTTACAAGAAAAACTGCTATACTGATGGGTGGAATACGAGGATTGGGTAGACTGTATGGTTTAAAAAAAAAAAAAAAAAAAGTCAGCAAAGATGAAGGGATACTTTGTTCTACTAGTTTTTTTAAAAAGGAGCTGTTCCTTGACATCTTAGGTATAGCATTATCTGCAGTTTCTTTTGCTTATTTTTGCAGCTGGAAATATTTCCCATTACTGTTTGTGAACTCTAAGTAACACCTCAGATCCAGAGAATCTAGAAATTTTGACTGGACTTTTTGAGGTTTTGAGATCAGAAAGCAAGGTACTCCTAGAAGCTTAGACATCTAAGGCACATTCCTTCCTTATTTGAATGGAAGGCTATTGCCTTCTGAGAAAATTTGCAACAAAAAACCTTTTTAAAAGTATTTACTTTATAAATAATTGAGAGAAATTTTGCTTTCCTTTTGCTCTTCACAAATCAGAAAATGACTAGATCATATATGCCTTGTTTTGTCAGTAAATTATTTAAATAGTCTGATTTCCATGTCAATTATAAGTTCCCTTGTTATTTTTACTAATTCATTTTACAAACACTGTGGGATTGTCATCATACTAAGTAGAAGGATCTGTTCTTTTTTGTACATTTATTATTCAATTGAAAATAGGGAATTAGTTTCCTTTATGTCCCAACTTACTTTTCACTAGTTTCAAATAACAGTTCTATTCAACATCCATAACATTTCTATGAATAGAAATGAGTTGATTCTTATGGAGGTGCTACAGGTGTCAAATGAATTTAACACCCACCCAGAGGCTGTTCTTAAGGTCCCCCTGTCTCTCTGGTGATTCCCATTTTTTGTTAATGTTTATGGAAGTTTTGTAGGAAATGGTATGTGTGTGGCTGAACCATTTAAAATAATTTCTGTCTTGTCTTTGATCTTGTCACTAGTCATCCCTACTAATAATCCATGTTTTGTTTTATTTAAAAGAAAATAAGTATTGTATTTGGTGTGAATGTAACAATGACTGTATAAAAGGAATGAAGAGTAACAGCATGTTTTCTTTCCAAAATGTATTGCTCTGATATGCAGTAGCTTATATACTGATTGAAACCCTTACAGCAAGTCCTTTCTGCTACTTACATTTCCAGGTCCAAGCCTGTTTCCTGCATGTTAATGATGTGAAATATAAAAATGATGCATGATCTCCAGAACAACTGATAATAATAGTTAAAAACAGTCCCTGAAAGGATAATGCTTTTGAGAAGCACCATGGAGTCCTTCCCCTATTGAACAGAAGGGCTTAAATTTACTACCTCATTGGTCTAAGTCTGATGAAAATGGGACAAAGTTTTGCTTCACAACCATCTTTACCCTAAAGGATGATTTCTTTTAATTTTCATAAACGTGTCCTATTCTGTTATTGACTGTTGACAAGATATGGCTACAAGTAAATGAAAACCAGGGACTGTTACTAACCAATGACATAGCAGTTGAGAATTTCTGAGCGATGTGTTTTGCTACAGCATTTGATTAGAAAAAGTCCTTCAAAACAGCTATAAATAAAACAAAATGGGTCTGCCTTTTACTTCACCTACTGTTAGTGTGTGTCACAAATGCCTTTTATTTTTCTTTCATTTCCTTAAAGTGAAAATAATAAAATAGGCATAAGGGGAAGACTTCTACATTTTTGGTAACATATTTCACTTTTCTTTTTCTGCCCAACTTTTCAATTTCAAATAATGTGTTGGGAAGAGTTAGACAGAGGGAAACCATGGGAAAACAAATGCTGTTTTGAATTTTCTGTGTAGTTTGAATGTGTATGCATCAAAAGCTGCAGTGGAAACTTTCTTACTTAAAAGCCAAGCTCTGAGGAATGATGTACCATGCAATGAACAAGCCTGATGCTGCATGATGACTTTCTGAACAGCTGTAAGATAACTCTACTAGGAAGCTAAAAGAACATGGCATTAGTCATGTGAGCAAAGTTTTAGAGGAATGGAGTCGCTGCTGAAGAGATCACTCATTCATCTCCCTCAATGCCTGTTTTCCACAATCATAATGTTACCCTTGCTTGACAAGTATACTGTATGGCAAGTCATCAAGGCCTTAGAACAGGACTTGACCCATTTGAGTGATTTCTATCCCTCCTTCCTGGTGACTGTGGCATTAAGAAACTGGGAAAAAAAAAAAAAAAAAAGAAAAATTATTTTAAATTTAATGTCATTACTTAATGCAAAAAAGACATCCTAAACTGAAGGTACAGGCCAGAGAAACATTACCTTTTTTCTGCATTTGCTTTTAAGGTTTTGTTTTTGCCTGTCAGTGTTCTGTTTTGTTTTTAGTATAATTGAGTCAGTTCAATCTAAACCATTACCAAAAGTGTTGGTTCCGTGCAACATGTGAAACAATCTAGGTTGCCTTTGCGTTTCTTCAGACTTAAACATACTGTGATTCAGGTAACATACAAAACTGTGCAATGGTAATTACACATGTATTTATAAAATAGGATGCTATATATATCTAGAAATATATAACAAGGACATTCAGATGACTAAAGGATATAAATTCTAGCATGTGTAGAAGTTAATTCCTTTTGAAATTAAGCCCTAATTGTACATTCA